TATTTAATCAAAAATCAATATCCGTTTGACATTTCCATAACAATAATTTATTTTCTAGTGACAAAATAATGAAACATGTATACAATAAATTTGATATATGTGGAGATCAGAAAAAGGTTGTAATTGATTTTTGATTAAATAATTTTGTAGCTACATCCTATAATATATTTTATTATTTGGCACAGATGTAAGAATATTATATTCTTGTAGTTTTATTCTTCTACTACCTCCAAACTCGATCCAGAAAGTTTACCTAAAGAAATTAAAAGGTGGATTATTAAATTAAAAATCTATTTTAATTGCTATTAATTTACTTCAAGGTGTGATTGAAAAATGTTCATATAGGTATTATAATTGTAGATTAGGTATTCACATAAAATGAACAATGCTTTTAAAATTATAAACTAACAATGTACATGTCTGGAGTGGTAATAATTATTAATTCCTTATATGAGATGCATCAGTATAAAAGATACAGGTAATTAAAGGGCTCTAAAGTAGAAATAATTATTTATCTGTTTATATTAAGAGAATTGTAACTTTCACTATTGTTATTGTGAGAGGAAGATATCAATGATTAGTTTATGCTAGTAGCAAATTTGTAATAACAATATATCTCACATGTACAAAATGTATTTTTTAAAATTCGGGTTGGAAAATAAGAAAAAAATTTACTGATAGATTAGAAAAATTGTATTTAATATTACCGTCTTCTTGTGATATTATAGATTCATCTGGTGAAGACACAGATCCTGTGGAGGTTGGACCTGGTTCAATAGGATCATAAACTAAGGCAGTTCTTCTGGCTTCTTTTAATTGTTTGAAATAATTTGCGGCATAATCAACTACATCGCCAGGTTGTTCCAGAAGATAACTAATTGTAAATTCTAATAACACTTCTTTTAGTTCATCTGGTACCTGTATTCGTGCTGGACGACTCATTTTTTATCACCCACAAAAATAAAATAATCACTTATTAACGTAGGCTTTTCTGATTAGTAAAGATAATTTGAAAAAATTAAATGAGCATGTTAATTAGCGAAGGAACCCTAAAATTTTAGTAGCATTCACGATAAAATTTCGGCAAAATCGAGGATTTCTTTTCAAATAGCCATCTTGGCTAGTATGTCAAAACTGAATTAACTGTTTTTCCAAAAATGTAATAATTATCCTGAATTTATGAACGATGCCGTTTTGATTTCACTGAAATGATGGTGGTAAGTTGATCGAAGTGCAATTAATTAGTTCACGCACAACGAAACGGTTTGTGTTCATCGGATACTATTAGTTTATACGAATATTAGTTTCATACGAACACGACCCCATTACTAACAGTAGCAGTCCTTTTTTACTTTCCTCTTTAACATTATTATTGCAAAATGGTTTATTTTACTTCCAGCACTATAAATTCAAACCCGTGACATTCATCACATACCTAATCAATGATTTGCCGGCGCCGACAACGACGTTTCATTTCGTTGCACCAACACTACAAAACTTTAAATACTTTACTATTTTTATATTTTATTACTTATTACTACGACTGTCGCCAAGCAGAATATGATAACATAACAATAACAACGCTTAAAATGCACAAATCCGTTATGTAATCACTGTGTTATTAAAGTAAATCCCTCTGTTACATATCTCTTTAACTTCCACAGTTTATTTTGTGTTGTAACCACTGTAAATCGTAATTTTTAACTCTAACATTTAACCCTATTTATTAAATATGATGTAATAAACGTTAAGGAAATTGCTCTTTGAATTATTTCTCAAAATGAAATTAAAAATAAAATATTTTTATATTATTTATGAATAGTTATTTCATACGTTAACGCTTACGGATAGCCAACATAAATTCGAAAGTTAGGTAATTTAACAGTACCCTTACGTATGGTGGTGCCTTATCTAGTATGGCTATACTCATTCTTTCAATCGTTTGTGAATTTTTGTGGGCATAAATGGTTTTTTGTTGTGATTGATAATTGGTCAATTTAGTAATTAACATAAACTTAATTGTAAAATAGACTTCTGAGTATTCAGTCAATCGGAAAACGTTTAGGAATTCTGAATATGTAATGAAAAATGTTTCTGATTATTCCAAGGAAAACGAAAACTAAATAATTTTTCAGAGTGCCCTCTAATGTAACTATAAGTAATCATTGATCTAGACCACGGTGTTCCCCTCCACTTCCAATGACATGAATACATCCCTCTAATCTATGGTTTTTGACGTTGTGATATTTCTTGGTTATAATTTGGGAAAATTGACAGATTTTGAAAAAGTTTAAACAAATTATCTTCTACTTAACGAGATGTCTTTTACTTTTGGTGTTTCAAAAGCGTCCACTGGGTTTCCATTCACAACCTCAGCAAGTAAATCATAAACAATTCAAATTAAAATTAATGTGTATAAAACCTTTTTTTTTTAGGTACAATAACTGCTTCTGGAGGAGCAGGTGATGCTGCAAAAACCACTCAGGCAAAACCCTTGTTTGGAATCACAACTCCTTCATTGTTTGCAGTCCCAGCTTCATCAGCACCAAGTTTTTCATTTGGCTCAGCTACACCAGCAATAACTACTACTGTTACATCTATTGGTAAGAATTTTAAATGGTTGTAAGCTGATTTTAGACATGTAGTTGTGATGTAGTGATACGTTTTACGCTTATTTGTTTTCTAATTTTAAGCAGGCCCATTAACTACTTCAGCAACGGTACAACCTCAGGGAAGTTCGTTAAATTTGGCTACAGCAGCACCTGTACCAGGTAAATTCGTAATTTTTAATCTTCTGTTAGGTCTATAATTTACAATAAAATTACAGGCTTCTCCCTTGGAGCTGTCTCTGCATCATCTACAGCAAATATTACCACAGCAATTTCATCTGCTGCATCTGCTGGTACTGCTACTGCTCCAAATACAACTATTTTAACAACAACCACAACTACTAGCACCAGTATTCCATCAAGTCAACCTACATTGAGTTTTGGATTTTCTACAACACCTACGAGTACCTCACTTGCAACAGCAGCAATGTAACAACTAATTGTTATATCAGTTTAATTGATAATTAATTTAAATTTATTTTGCAGCCCTTCTTCAATTGCCATAACTTCATCTACTGAGTCTGCATTACCTGCCAGTGGTATACTTACTTATAATCAACTAGAAGATGCTATTAACAAATGGACTATAGATTTGGAAGAACAGGAAAAACTGTTTACCAACCAAGCAAAGCAATTGAATGCTTGGGATTGCTTGCTAATTTCAAATGGAGAGAAAGTAAAGGAGTATTAAATGCTTTATGTTTGATTCATAAGTTTAAAGATAAATTTGTTTGTAGGTGCTGCAACTGAATAGCAACATTGAAAAGGTTAAACAGCAGCAGGAGCAACTAGATCAGGAACTGGACTTTGTTCTTGCACAGCAAAATGAATTAGAAAGTTGTATTATTCCATTAGAAAAAGAATTACAAGATGTTCCAGTACAAGATATTGACAGGAATGAAACGTAAAACATACTTATCATTAAAAAGAAAAGTAAAAATTTATTGGCTTAATTTTAGTTATCAGTTGGCAGAAAGTTTGGACAGTCAGTTGAAACAGATGTCTGAAGACCTCAAAGAAGTTATTGAACATTTAAATGAATCAGCTAAATGTCAAGAAATGTCCGACCCGGTAAATAAGAGTGTCAATTAATGTTAATAAATATGGAATAAAAAACTCATTTTAATTGCAGATTTCTCAAATATCTCGCATTTTGAGTGTTCACATGGATTCCCTTCAGTGGATTGATCGAAATACGGCACAAATTAGTGAACAGTTGGATCAAATTACAAAAATGCAAGAATACACAAAACATATTATTTAAATATCAGTTCTTAAATTAGTTTTTACGTTTATTGTAATTCAAATAATTATATTTGCCCAATTCCTAATACATATTTTTCAATAAAGAATGCAAATTCATTTTGCTTTTCTTTGTTGACGTTTGGCATACCAATAAATAGTCTGCATAGTTTTGAACTAGTTTATTCTTACAATTGAGTGTGAGTGGTTTACTAAAATGTATAACAATACTGACTATCAGGGGGACTTATAAATGCACAGCATGAGATTGCTTTAGGAAATACATTACAATGAGGCAAA